AATTAGAAAAAGAATTAACCGCTACTTATTTTCTGCAAATTAATACTACTCTAAATACGGCTCGGTCGCCGACCTTAATTTTCGCCTTTTGATAAAAGCGGAAAGTAATCGTTTCCAGCGGAGGCAAATTAGTCTCTCCGATGGGGGTAATTTTTAATTCTACTTTATTACCGGTCAATTCCGCCTGCTTAGTTAAAGTAAATTGAAGATTAGTTAGGGAGATAGGGGTTAAATCCTTAACCTTATCAATTAGTCAACCTTTAACCTCTTTGTCGCGACGGACAGTAATCGTTTCCACTCCTTTCTGAGCCGTTAATTTTAGTAAGTTCCTGTTTTTAGCAAAATTAGTAAACTTGTCTGCCTCCTCACCTCCTTTTACCAGCAAAAATTCAACTGCTTGACCGTCCAACTCTATTGGATTTTCTAAGTCTAGTTTTAAATAAACCTCATCTCCATATAGTTTAATTCTCTGAGCCGTATTTAGAGTAGTATTAATTTGCAGAAAATAAGTAGCGGTTAATTCTTTTTCTAATTTTTCTCGTTCGGCTTGTAAGTGGTCAACTCGGGCTTGTAATGTTTCTGGGATACTTTTTTTCTCAATCCTTTTTAAGATTCGACCTAAGTGATTTTTTTTGGCTCGCGGAGACTTATCACTTTGATTTACTCATCATTCTCCATTCTCGATTAAATTAGTTAAAATACCGGCTTGATTGGCGAGGGCATATGGGTGTTCTTCACCCCCCTTAGTAATGGTGAAGTTATCAGAAATTTCCAAGGCAAAATTACCATTATCTTTGGCTCCGAGTGTGCTGAGATTTCAAGCCTTATTTTCTACTTCTCCTTCTTTATCATTTATCGTGGCTAGTTTAATTTCCACTTCGTCATTTAGTAAATTATCAATATCTTTTAGTTCCAGCAAAGGAACTCCTTCGCACGAATCTTTCGGTTTATTTCAAATCCGATAAGGCAGATTTAATTCTTGGATAGTTAAGGTTCGACCATCGGCGGTTTTAATTGTAGTCGGCTCAATCCTACAACCGACACGGTCTTCCTCATTTCAACTTCATTTGGTTAAATGATTATCGGCACTATCCTTGATAATTTTGACCGAGGAGAGGGAATTGGAAAAAGAAGCCTCCGCCTCAATATATTCATTGCGATAAGTGCTTTTGCCCTCTTCATCCGTTCCGGCAAAATGTTTGACTGGAATTAGGGAAGTTTTTTCTTTAAAGGCAATTTTCACTTCATCACTCCTAAAACTAATTTGATTGCCCTCCTCCTTTGCCCATTCAGCCCCATTCAGTATTTTCAAAGTAATGGTTACCTCTTTTTTTCCACCTAATTTTTCATTAATCTTAGTTCATTCTTCTTCTTCTTCTTCTTCTTCTTCTTCTTCTGACACCCAAAAAAAAGCAAGACCAATTTTCGTTTTACCTTCGATTAACTTAGAAAATACTTTGGACTGGCAATCTTTTATATCGAATGCAATCTGTAAGTGTTTCGGATCAATTTCCCAGTTAGTCGAGGAAAAAGTTATTTCTTGGGGAACTAAGTAAGG